AGAGCTTTTAAAGATAAAAATGCACTCAACGAAACAAAATTTTAAAAGGGAAATCAGTAACGTAACAAGTTAAATGAATCCGAAATGAAGATGACTGACCTGGGAGACATATCTGACAAATAGATTGTGCTCAGCACACACAGGAAGGTAAAACGGTGGAAAAAATGCAACAGACATTAGGAGACAGAGAAGAAAGAATAACAAATTTGCACAAGTCTAAGAAGTTCTATAAGGAGAAACAAAACATGGGGGAAAGACAATATTTAAAGAGAGAATGATCACTGATTTTCCAATTAGTGACTCAATTGGCAAAAGAGTCGATGTTAAAGATTCAAGAAGCAGAAACCCTACTCCTGCTCAAAAGAGTAAGTCCACATTTATTTACTTCTTAGCTGCCTGTCCAGCATATGGGTCTTAGTTCCCTGACCAGGATCCATCCTAGGCCCTAGCAGTGAAAGTGCCGAGTCTTCATCACTGGACCGGCAGCGAATTTCCAAAATTAAAAATTTTTTGTGCTTCAAACAGCACCATAAAGAAAGTGAAAAAAAGACCCATAAAACTATGAGATGGCTATAATCAAAAAGACAGAGTTAAAAAAAAAAAAAGACAGATAACAAGTTCTAAGGAGGATGGGGAGACACTGGAACCCTTAAGTACTGCTGGTGGGAATGTGAAATGGTGCAGTCACTTTGGAAAACAGTCCAAAGAAAGCTCCTCAAATCGTGAAACAGAGTTAACCACATCCAAGAGAAGGGAAAACATGTTTCTACACAAAAACTTGTACACAAATGTTCATGCAACCTTATTCATAATGGCCCCAGATGGAAAGAACCCAAATGTCCACCGACTGATGAATGGATAAATAACACACAGCATGCCCACACGATGGAATTTTATTTCACGATAAAAAGGAATGAAGTACTGCGCATGGACGTACGACATGGTACAGCATGGATGAAGCTCGAAAGTTCTATGCTGAATGAAAGAAGCCAGTCACAAAGGACCAGATTTGATTCCATTTAAACGGAACGTCCAGGGGAGGGAGGTGATACATGGATAATTACGGCTGACTTGCCTTGTTGTATGGCAGAAACCAACACAACTCTGTAAAGCAATTCTCCTCCAATTAAAAGACAAATTAAAAAAAAACAGTAATAATAAGTGGAACATCCAGAATGGACAAATACATAGGCAGCAGATTAGCTGGTCTCTGACTCTGTTGTTAAGATATGGGGAGTTAAGGCTAAGGAGAGCAGCGTTTCTTCTGGGGGTTGCAAATGTTCTGAAATTGATTGTGCTGATGGTTGCACAATTCTGTGATGGTACTACAAATCACCAAATCACACAGTTTAAGTGCGTGAACGGCAAGGTATATAAATGATATCTCAATAAAATTATTAAAAATAATACTAATAAAGCACATGAACGGTGCCATTATTGAATTACAGGGTCTTTTTGTCTACACAGCACCAGCAGTGGCTGTGGAAGCTCTCTACGGCTAACCCAGTGGAGGGATGGGAGGAAATGGGAGGATGAAGGGTCTTAGTCAAACTCCAAATATTTTCATCTGATACTCAGTTTTCATAGAAGCAACCAGTATATATTGAACTTCCTCTGTGAGTCAGGCCCCGCCTTCAGGTGTTTTGCCAGCAAAACAAACTCCCCACCCTCAGGGAAGATGGACTTTAGATAAGAAAATGATAAACAGGTAAGAAGTCAGGTTTCTAGACAAGCTGGGAAAAAGAACTAGCAGGGCAGTAAAGAGATAACTGGTATTGGGTTGGCCAGAAAGTTGGTTCAAGCTTTTCTGTGCCATCTTATGGGAAAACCCAAATGAATGTTTTGGCTAAGCCAATATCTTGCATACAACAAGTTAGGAAGCATCCTTTGAGCAGAGGCCTGAAGGAAGTAGTGGTGGGTGCTGTGTGGGTATCAGGGGGCAGGAAAAGCAAAGTCTTCAAGTGGGAAGGTGATCAGGGTGTTAGAGGAACAAGAGAGAAAACAGGGTGGTTGGGTGGATGAGTGATGGGAGAGACAGGGAGGAGGGGTTGTGAGGGTGAGAAGACAGAAAGGCCTCTGGCTCCTTCCCAGGAAGATGGAAGGGTCCAGAGTACCCTGACTTAGGTTTTAGAAGAAACACTATGACTGCTTTGTGGAAAATGGACCAAAGGGCCAGAGTTGAAGCATCCTTCTTCTCCAAATAGTTCCACTTCTTATTCAACAGATTTGAGATCTTTCTGAACAGTTTTTTTGTTTCTTTGCAAAGTCTGCACATTTTTAGTGCCACTAAGCTATGGATTTGGTTCAAAAGAAAACATATTCAGTATTTTTTATTTTCGTCATGTATAGATGGTGGCATCATTTTTTCTCATATTCAGATTCACTTGTTTGGAAAATCTTTGACCTAAGAGTAACACTCAGGCTTGTAACAAAAGCTTGGCAGTAGCATCATGTATAGATGGTGGCATCATTTTTTCTTATATTCAGATTCACTTGTTTGGAAAGTCTTTGACCTAAGAGTAACACTCAGGCTTGTAACAGAAGCTTGTAACAGTAGCTCAATCCAGCTGCTTATTTAGATTCACATGGGAGGATCTGCATAGATTTATACAGTATCAATATGTCTTTTCACATCAATTGGCTAAGTCATTGATCTTAGTCTTAACATAAAAATTATTCACATTTGAGATTATTTTAGATACGTTAACAGCATTTCACCAAGAAAACACCAACGTTTCAGAACTTAAAAATAGCTGAATATTAAGACTATTGTTCTTTTACAGGCAAAGAATTGACAGATTAAAACCACTTCTGGAGATCACATAGCTAGTAGTTTAAATGGTGTGGCCAGGATTTAAACACAGGCAGTTTAAAATGCAACCCACAAGGGACTTCCCTGGTGGTCCAGGGGTTAAGACTGGAGCTTCCAGTGCAGGGAGCACGGTTCAATCCCTGGTCGGGAAACTACGATCCTACACACGCTGTGCGGCCAAAAAATAAATAAGATGCAACCCATAAACTTCACCGCTACACTACAGGCACCTCCCAGAAAGAGGCATCTGAGTTGGGCCTGCTAGCAGGTTGCACCTCCCCACTCCCAGCATTGAAGGGAACTGGCAAAAGCTGTGATATCCATTCTGGGGAAGAAGTTAGGGAACAAATGAGGATCCCAGCTCACGAGGACAACTTCAGGAGAGGCTCGGCATCTTGTTTTACCATGGAGGTAGTCAGTGCATTTACGGAAATTCCTGGGGTTGGCCTCAATCCTCTGGATCCTGTGTGGGGTGGAAGCTGTGTGGCTGGAGATCAAGGGAGGGGAAATGGCTTAGAGACAGTAAGGGCTTGGAAGATAGTGAGGATCAGGAGTGTGGCCCGAGATTAGCAGTGGGTGTTGGCTAAGAAGAGAAAGGGCGATTAAGCCTGGGGGGAGTGGGTGGCCCATGGATGGTCCTGGTGGTGGGAAAGCCCCAGCCATAGGCCTTCCTAGAAGTCCTCCCTCCTTTTACTTCATTCATGATGAATCACACTCTTCTCCCTCACACAGGGCCCTGTGGGAGATGACAACTCTTTCAACAAAGGCTCCTGGCCTTTAGAATCTCACCTTGGGGTGGTTGTGGGTATAAAAAATTTTCATTTAATCTTTCCAATCTGAGGAGGTGGCTGGTAAGATACCACCTTAGGATAAAATGATGATAAAACTGAGACCTTAAAGAAGCTAAGTGACTTGCTTGAGATCACACAGCTAGTAAGAGGCAGAGCCCGGGTTACTTGAGTTAAAAGCTGCTCTGTCAATGCTAGCACTGGGGAAAAGTAGCAGAAAATGCTTAAATATATCAATAATGGACACTCAGTCGTGTCCCCATTCTTTGGGATCCCTGGAGACTGTAGTCCGCCAGGCTCCTCTGTGCATGGAATTCTCCAGGCAAAAATACTGGCGTGGGTAGCCATTCCCTTCTCCAGGGGATCGTCCCAGTCAAGGGATCCAACCCGGGTCTCCTGCATTGCAGGCAAATTCTTTACCATCAGAGCCATCACTGCAAAAACTCTATGAGGTTTTCAACTTTTCCTAGACACGGAAGGATTTAAGAGCATCCGCTATTACCACAATCTCAATCACAAGCCTGAGAAATTACCAGCATAATGAATTTCCATTGCCTCTCCATTCTGTGCTATTGCTAGAGGGAATTCACTCAGGATAGAATTCTTTTCCAAAAGCAAGATGCAACAACTCTCTGGTCCAAGGACAAGTTACACTTCAATCACAACCTTCCCCAAGACCGATACCTAGGTGGCAACTAGAGCCTCGGCGGCAGGACTCAAAAGGTCATCCCCATTGCCTCGCACGCTCAGATTCTGACCCCTATTTCCACCTTCCAGGCCTTTTGTCCCTGTGCGTTCTCAACGGAATGCTCAGTTCAGTGGAGGGGCGGGGGGGGCGGTCCATTCTGGGGGAGGCAGCCCTTTGGTGTTAGCGAGCGACACCCTGGCTGGGTAGATGTCGGAGTGGGGCCAAGAGGAGAGCTCTGGGGTCCCTGCCAGGCCTGGAGTTCGGAAAGCTTAGACCACAAAGAGCACCGCCGGCCAGGGTGCAGATTCCAAGGACAGCCCGGAGAGGAGCCCTCGCTGCGCGGCGCAGCAGCCACCGGAGAGGTTCGGAAGCTCAGGGCAGGCTCACGTCCACTGGCGGGGCGGGGCGGGGCGGGAGGCGGCCGCGGGTGAAGCCCCTGTGCTGGGGGCTAGCACACAATGGGCCGGAGCGCACTGCCGGGCGCGCAGCCAACGCGCCGCCGCACCACGTGGGCCGCAAAGCGCGCCGGGGCCACCAGAGGCCCGTCGGCCCAGGCCGGGCGCGGCGCGGCGTACGTGCGCGCACGCGCGCGTGCGTGCGTACGATTTGCGATCAGGCGGCGCGGCGGACAGCCCAGGCAGCGGGGCGGGGGGAGTTATATTGCGGGGTCCTTCCTCGCTCACCCTGGTTCCTCTCGGAGCGGAGACGGCAAATGGCGGACTTCGATACCTACGACGATCGGGCCTACAGCAGCTTCGGCGGCGGCAGGGGGTAAGGCGAGCGTGCGCGGGCCCCGGCCGGGTGCGGGAGGCGGGCGGGAGTCGGAGGTGGCAGGGTTGGGGGGGGGGGTGGCCGCTGGGCGGCGGCCTTCCCGCGCTCACACCAGGGGCGGCGAGCCGTAGGGGCCCGGCGGGCCGGCGGAGGCCTCGTAGAGGCGCCTAGAGGACCGGGGCCTGGAAATGGCGCGCTCGGGGAGTGTGCGGCGGCGGTTAGGCTCCCAGGGGCTTGCTCGCGGGACAGACTCCTCCTTGTGTCTCCGCCGCCGCCCGCGACGTGTCTTTCCTCTTACTCGGCCGCGGGGCAGGGCTGCCGCGGCGCTGAGGGCCCGGGACGACGGGCTCCCGCTTCCAGCCCCATCCCCCAGGACGGCAGGACCAGCGCGGGGCTCTGCTGCAGAGCGGGGGTGGGGGCCTCCTGCCTGCCCGGCTCCAGTCCCGGTCCCGGACGCGGCTTCCTGTTGTCAGCCCGCGCTGCAAGTGTGCTGGGCCCATTTGGCCATGAGACCAGCGGGTTGGGTCGGGTCGGAAGGCCGAGAGAGAGGTGATTCCCTTCCGTTTTCGGGTGAGGCTGGGATTTGGCAGCTGGAGCCTAAGAAGACCAACCAAAACAAACACACACCGTAGCGTTTTCCTTTTATCCTTCCTTAGATCAGAGTGACTTACTGACAAGTGCTACGTGCTTACTGGCAGATAAATGCTATGACCTGGAGAAGGAATCGCATTTAGCTTCGTTCTGATTCTGGCCATACACAGACTCTATGTGCATCTTGTTTAAAAGAAAAATCCTTGTCTAGTGAATTAAAAGCTTCTGGTGTTCAATTCCACGGACCCGCTCTGCATTTTTTTTTTTTTACACGAGTAATCTCATACAGAATTTAGAAGATAGACTATGAACATCTTGCTATTTGTCAAGGGCACACTTTGCCTTTGTGTGATTTGCAGAAAGGATTACTTTCCCAGGAAAACACCACAATAGTACCTACTGAGGTGTCCAGTCTCCTGAGCTTCTATCCCAAAAGTATCTTTGTTTGGTGAAGAATGACATTTTAATACCTCGGTTTGGGAATGGCTCAAATAAAAGCTTGTTTGGGTGCGTGAGTGCACCAAGTATCATTCGTGACTGTAGAACATGGAAGTTGGGGGAGGTGGAGCCACCTGTTATTTCAAAGGATACTTTATTTGCTAATAAAAAAGAAATAGATGTTGGATTACATGTACAATTACTGCCTTTGGGGTAGGTTTCTAGACATCAAATTTGTAGTTAAGTCATCTTGAAATTTTAATAACCAGTTTTTTTTTTTCTCCTAGTTTCAAAAAACATTTGGAAGTACCCGGGAAAACACTTAAACAGTAATTTTAGTTGGTTTGGGACTACAATGTTAGTCGCATTATAGAAAACCTGGGGTTTGTTTGTTTGTTTTTTAATTCTCGATTTTTACAAATTTACCAGATGTTCTGGTGACTTGAGGTGTTTGAGTTAGTCTTCCTGTGTGTATCAAGTTTTGACATTTGGACTGCCTTGAATAACAAGTTGATCAACAGTAAAATTCTCATTTAAGATGCTGTTTATCAGAATATCAGAAAAGACAAAAGACAGTGTTAGCCATTTGCCCAGATGCACTCCAAAAACTGATATGAGAGAGTAGTAGTTGGCACAATACATTTCTTAAGCTTTTTAACAAAAAGTCCTTTTGCTATTAAGCACCTTCTACAAATGACCTTGGATTTTTCCACTTGACTTCATCTAAATATAAAAGACATAGGAGATACTGCTCAGGTAGCTAAGAAGTAGTTTTAAAAAACCTGTTGGTGAATTTGTGTGTTCTAGGCCGTGTCTGGAGTGGGTCCAGAAACTTCACAGAGGACCAGACATGTAGTGGTGTGATCTGTGCCAAAACTTTGTTGTTCCAAATGGTTAATGTTAATTTCATCAGGTCAGAAGTTGTCAGTTATTGGGATCTTTGAAATTTAACAAAATGACAGGATCAGATGATCTTCAGTGATCGAGTTATGTTCACATCAGTAGTTGTCTCAGGGCTTCCCAAGTGGCTCAGCGGTAAAGAATCCGCCTGCCAATGCAGGAGCCACAGGTTCCATCCCTAGGTTCAGAAGATCCCCAGGTGAAGAAAATGGGGTCAGCGGTAAAGAATCCGCCTGCCAATGCAGGAGCCACAGGTTCCATCCCTAGGTTCAGAAGATCCCCAGGTGAAGAAAATGGCAACCCACTCCGATACTCTTGCTTGGAAAATTCCATGGACAGAGGAGCCTGACGGGCTACAGTCCTTGGGGTCGCAAAGAGTCAGACACGACTGAGCATGCATGCACAATACACATCTCGGTGCTGTTTCTGTTGGGATACAGTGCTTAACCATTATAGATGATCTCCCCTATGGAATGGTCCTGTGTGGTTTCATGCTTGTTTCTTTCTTTTTTTTTAATGCTCCACCTTTTTTTTTTTTTTTTTGGTTTCACCCTGTGTCATGTGGATCTTTGTAGTTCTTCTACCAGGTATCAAACTCATGCTCCCTGCAGTGGGAGCACAGTCTTAACCACTGGACTGCCTGGGAAGTCTGTGTTTGGCACTTTTGTAAAGCACCTTGTCTCTAGTCTGGGCTTCCCTGATAGCTCAGTTGGTAAAGAATTCACTTGCAATGCAGGAGACCCTGGTTCGATTCCTTGGTTGGAAAGATCCGCTGGAGAAGAGATAGGCTCCCCACTCCAGGATTTTTGGGCTTCCTTTAATGGCTCAGCTGGTAAAGAATCTGCCTGCAGTGTGGGAGACCTGGGTTTGATCCCTGGGTTGGGAAGATCCCCTGGAGAAGGAAAATGCTACCCACTCCAGTATTCTGGCCTAGAGAATTCCATGGACTGTATAGTCTGTGGAGTCATAAAGAGTTGGACACAACTGAGCGACTTTCACTCACTCACTTCTCTCTCATAAAACACCTTAGATAGGATGTCTTAACTCTATAATCAACTTGGGTCACAGGTAGAAGGGGTGGCAAGTTTGTCAAAATCTAAAAACTTGGGTTTTAATAATTATTACACATTCCCTGTAAGTTTATTTTGTAGTTGTGTGTAATAACCAGTACAGTTGTCAGGAAGCAATGTTGAACAACTATTTTATTTCCCCAGCCTCTAAAGGCATGTTCCCAGCAGCAGAGGGGAGAACCAGAGACTGCATTGTTGCTCAGAAATCGAGTCAAAAGAAAATTCCAAATTATCAGTTGATTGTACCAGATCTTGAGTGTATTTTTGTTTTGCACTTTGCTAACTTATCTTTCTGAGATTCTGATTTTTCATTTGCCTTTGGCAATAAAGTGCCATTGACACTGATTTTACATTTCTAACTACAAAAGGTGTTTTCAGTGCTGAACCTAAAAAGAGCATCAATCCTGAGAATTAGATTAGAACTTAGAATTAGCAAGAATTAATATTGCTGGAATGGTACCTGCTGAAAATGAATTAAACTACAAAGTTAAATATTCTTTATTACGTTCCAGTGGGGAGAGGTTAGAATTCTGATCTTTGAGTCTTATAGGACTTAAGCTTGGCGTCTGTGTCTAAATGTCTAAGTTTATTTTAAGTCTTATAATGCAGAAGAAAGTGTATGAAAGCTAACCAGTTTCACTGACAACAGGATCTGTGAAGGTGTTGAAAGGCATATTGTAAAAACGTATCAAATGGCAAATTGTTTAGGTTTATTGTCATCCTTCTGTCCCCTGCTTAGTCTCCCAATGCTTGATTCCAAATCATTGTTCTCTTCAAATACTTGGCTTTACCAAGAGGTCTTTGAGATGTCAGAGGTGTTCAGGCAGAAGCCATGGGACTAAAGTGAGTCAGACAAGAGCTTAAGCGCTCTCAGCTGTGTGTTTACTGTGTGATCTAGACAAGTTCCTTAACCTCTCTCAGCCTCCCTTTCCCCACAGATAAGATAGGAACTCCTCTGTAGGGCTGTTGGAATATTGAGGTGTTAAACTGCAGCACAATATCTGGAACATAAGTGCTTGATAATTGGTAGCTGTTGATTTATAATTTTTTAATTCTTAAAATATTTCCTTTGGAGTTAGTAAGAATGGGGAAATTTCTATTGAGAGTTAGCTGGAGTGAGTTATTGTTTTCCTGGGTATATTTCTAAAGCCAATTAAGGGAATGCTGTTCATTTTATAGGCATAAAACATAATAAGCATATATAATAAGTATCATAAATTAGTATCAAGTAATTCATTCTCATACATTATTGGTTTGTAACAGTTCATGCTTGGACTATTAAAATGCTTCTGAGATTTCTAAAAAAAAAAAAAATTCTTATGTACTTTTAAAATTTATATTTCTATTTGAAATTACCCTTAGTGTTCTAGGAAGACTTCACACAGAATCAAGACATCTTCCCAGAAACTTGGAACGTACAAAGCAGAATGTTTGGCTGAGGGAGGCGGGGCATGGGGGAGTCAGCCCTGAATCAGATCCAGCTTCCCCTGGTAACAGAAGAGTGTTGGGCAGGAGACCCTGCCTCTTTGCCTTTCCATCATTTGTACAGGTGGTTAGATTTGCACACTCAGGGCACAAGTGACCAGCTGATTTTGATTGCACTTAATGGCTGTAATGTCTAAGTTGTGTTTGTGAATCATTGAGCATCCTTGGATTTTTTAAGTTTGCCAACCATATGATAGTTTTTTTTTTAATGTTTTTAAAAGGACCCTCTGGATGTGTTCAAGTATACTGATACTCTGTTGAAAACATGGCACCTCCATAGGGTAGATGGAGCTGGTGATCCCCTTTGCTCCACACACTATTTTTACATTATTGAAATAATCGGTTGCATTTTTGGAGGGAGCCCCATAATGTTTTTGGCCAAGCCCCAGAGCCTGTGGGATTGTAGTTCCCTGACCAGGAGTTGACCCTGGGCCCTGGGAAGTGAAGGCGCAGACTCATGGCCAGTGGACCACCAGGGAGCCCCCGGGGCCTTTTCAGTATCTGGCTTAGTAGAAG